TTTGAGGAGCTTTCTCTTCTCCAGCTGCCCCAGCCCAGCTGTCTCAGCCTGGCTCCAGAGCAGAGCTGCTCCAACCCTCAGCATCTCCATGGCCTGTTCTGGTCTCTGAGGATCTGCTTTTCTTCACATAGATCTCTTTTATCTGCAGCTTTGCAATACTGAACATTTGTGCAGTGTCTCGGGGGGGCTCACGGCCAGTGCAGAGTCTGGGAGAGGTGTTTGTCATCAGTGAGTTACAGCATGTTGAACTGCAGCAGCATTCTTGATTTGGTGGTGGGTGATGCTGTGAGATAAGCCTGGGTCTGGAATACAGGAGCAGCTGTAACTTAACCCAGGAGGGTGGGAGGAGGAGGAGAACAGAGAGACAGGAGGCAACTGGTAGGTGCTTCCCTTCAAACATGGAAGGGATTGAACCCCACATTTTGCAGTATGACTATTGGGGGTAATGGTGAATGTCACCTTACACTTGAAATGCCCTAAGGAATACTTCCCCCTTCATCTGCTGAGCATTTCTCTCTCTCTAGTGCTGTCCCCTCTGGGTTTTAATGCACACAGCAGGGTTCTGGGCTCAAGCACACACTGAAGCCGGGTCATGGGGAGCTTCTCATTGACCAACACCCCCAAGTCCTTCTCCTCAGGGTTGCTCCATCCAGTCTCCCCCAGCCTGTGTCTGTGCTGGGGATTGCCCTCACCCTGAGGCAGGATCCTGCCCCTTGGTTTCTGTCAGACCCTCCACCAGCCATTTGGACTCCCTGAGCTGACAGGAGCTGCCCTTGGGGTTGACTCTCCATTGCTCATGGTGTGCTCAGCCTCCCTGTCTTGTTTTTTACATGGCAACGTTTTTTGAGGGAAAGCAGATAACATCTTAGTGTTTGGAAACCTGCAACGCTGCCCAAATCTGATATGTAAACACATGCTCTGCCTTCTACCTGTTGCTGCAGATGAAGGGAGCTCTTGCAGTGGCACAGATGGTTCCTCTTATCTTCACGTTTGCCTTGTCTGGAGGGGATCAGTTCACTTCGTTTGTCTTAATTCCTAATCTCATCGCAGTGGGATCTACAAGCACAGGCTTTGTATTTGTGGGATGTAGAATTGCTTTTGTGGGTGTGTAAGTCAGCCCTTCCTTCCCACTCTGGTATATTGAATATTGGCCTAGCTCTATAAGTCCTCTCTAAGAGGACTCAGAAGGATTATTTTCATACTGGATAGGGTCAATTTTAATAACAAGTGGGGAACAAAGAAACCAGTCCAGTTGGAAACTGCTGCATGTTCCTTCTTTAATTTCCCGCCTGAAGAACTAGATGAGGTTCACTTAAAATACTGTTTTTGTCCCTCTCTCTATTACAGCGCTCAACTTTCCCTGAGGAAAACTTCATCTCTTGGGCACCCTGTTGCAGGAGTCAGTAATAATTCAGATGGTTGCTGCTTGCTAAACCTCTAGTTAGGGTTGAAGCAGAGCTTGACAGCACAAGGACCCCATTACCATCTGTTGATACTGGCATTTGGTTTTCCCCTTCTCCAGTGTCTAAATACAGCTGGAATCTGTGTGGAAAAGAAACACTTCTATTCCTTTTCTTTCTGCTGATGGTACAGAGCTTCCAGTTGGGAACTTCATGCTTCTGTGGAGGGGGAAAGGTTAAATTGGAGGCAACAGAGGTGGTGTTTGTGCAGTTAAGGGGGTGCGTGTGCACAAGGACAGTATTTGAGTTTTGTCTCATCCTGGTCTGTGATTCACTGCAAAATCATAGGAAGGTGTTTGGGGGCAGTTCCTCAGGATCCTGCTGGTAAGTGGATGTGTTTTTTCCCTTAAGAAAGGGCTAGGTCTACCAAAACCAGGCTAAATGAGTCCCAGGGCCTGGGGGATACAAGCTCAGTCAGAGTGACCAGTGTGCAGCTGTGATAAGGAAAGCCAACAGGATGCTGGGGAACGTCAACAAAGGCATCACCAGCAGAGATAAAGATGTTGTTGTTCCACTCTACTTGGTGCTTGTCAGGCCACACCTGCAATACTGGGTTCAGTTTTGGTACTACTCTACAAAACAGATGTGAACAGGCTGGAGAGGGTCTGGAGAAGAGCCCCAGGGATGATCCAAGGACTGGGAAGCCATATGAGTTAAGGCTGAGAGAGCTGGGACTGTACAGCCTGGAGAAGAGAAGGCTCAGGGGAGACCTTATCACCATGTTCCAGTAGTAAAGGGTGGCTACAAGGAAGGTAGAGACTCCCTTTTCACAAGCAGTCATACGGAAAAGCTGAGGGGTGATGGGGTCTTTCCATAAGAGGATACTCCACTCTGCTCCTTCTTCCCTGTCTGCAGTCTGCAAGCCCTTCCTTCCTTTGAGATGGCTGCAGAGCAGATTGTCCCCTCCACGGTAAGCTCTTATAAAAGGAAAACAGGAGAGTGCAACTGTGGCTAACATTGTTTACTGGGTCCATATCTCCTTCAAGTGGAGGGAGGAGAGCAGTTACATTTGCTGGGGTGGCAGCAGCAGGAGGGAGAAATCAAATCTGGGAATGCCAGAAGCTTAAAAGAAACAGGAACACACCTGATGTGTGGCTGTGTTTCTAAATCCTAGAGAGCACTGGCTCTTCCACCTCCATCCCTTCTCCTATGTTGGACATGAGGGAACAGGTTAGGCTGTGTTTTGAAGGAAGTTTTGCTGATGGGAGTTACTTGTCCTGACAGTTTTCTTGAGTTAGGTTTGGGTTACCCAAACAGGGAGTGAGATGCAAGTCCCTGCTGTTACTGTAAGAGTCCTACTCTGTGCTTATAATCAATCCTGAAGTCACCAACACAGTTCCACCAAGGGAATGATGATCTATCTCGTGATGTTTCTTCTGCTGGTTGCAGAGGAGCAGCTGGAAAACACTGTGTTTCCTCCTTGGTGGTTTGAGAGTAAAAAGGACAAGTTGAGTCTTGTCCTCTCAGGAGGCAGAAGACAATGAAGACCTGAAGGAAAATCTTAGCACTGGATTTTTTCCCAAAGGGATTGCATTTATCTATTTATTTTGCCTTGTAGGTGACTGTTGTGTTTAAGTCAGGGACTGATCTTATTCTCTCCTGATTGTGGCTCAAAAGCAGGAGTCCTTTTAGTCTGCTCTGAGTGTCAGCTGAAGAGCTGAATGTAGCTGCTTTCCTGTCTGGGATGGGGTTGGGGTTGGAGTTTTTTTGGGGTGTTTTTAGATTTTGAAAGGAATTCTGCTCTTCAGGCGTGGACTAAAATTGATGTTGCTTTCATTGTACTACCTGTGCTCCGTGTAACCTGTCCTTAAACCCAAACCTGAACGTGTGGTTTAATCCTGTTCATACAGACCTGCTTTGCGATAGGTTTCTGAGTAAACAGATCTTACAATAACAAGTAGATGGTGAGCACAACTCTCCTGATGTCTGCCTTCAACCAGAGCTCTTGGACCATGTCTGGGTGTTTCACCTTCATCCAGTAGCCTGTTTGCTCTGGCTGCCATAGCCTGAACTTTGCAGGCGAGCTAATGGAGCATAGAGTTACTAACACTTCTGAGACACAGAGACATGGACTGAGCCCATGAGTCTCATTCTGTGATCATTTCAAACAGACACAAGGACTTGTTAATCTTCCAGTTCCTTTAGTTTTAGTCCAGCTTGAGCAGGCAAGGCTCAGTCATTTGGTTCATGTGCTGTGGTTGTGCTGCTGTTTCCTCTCAGAATTGACACACATCTCATTCAGCACGAGGTTTCATCTGAAGAGCGTGTGCTTCTCATCTGAAGCACTTGAGGAGGGCTTGGAATTCCCTTTCCCATATGGAGGTACCACACAGCACGTGCTGCTTGGTGAAGCTGGTGGTTTAGGTTATTTAACTCAATAGGTTATGTCGTTCTTTGTGCCATCTTCTGGAGTTGAGAACCATCTTCCTTGGATTCATCCAAGCCAGAGTGACTTTGGCTTGTTCTCAGTGAGTGCATCTCCCTGTTTGCCTTTCTTCCCATAGGAAAAGCACGCAGGGTGGCCCAGAACTGTTTCCTCTTCGTCGTGCTTACAACCAGCTTTCCCAGCATGGAAAGCCCTCAGCTGACACTGAAGAGGAGAGAAGTGAGAGCTCTTGGCACCTCTTGAGCTCTTCTGTCCCTGCCAGCACCAGCCCCTCAGTATTTGACAGCAAGAATCAGTGCTGGAAATGTTGGCAATTGGGACACATCCCAGCTCAGGTGGAAGGCAAAATGTCCTGGTCTTGGCCAAGATAGAATGAAGGGGGTTAAACCCCAACACATGAAAACTCTCTGATCAGAACAGGGCTTTCTTCCTGCTAATATCTGCAAGTAGCTCTTAAGCATGAAGCGTATGGACAGTGTCAAAGGTATGTGTGTGCTTCCATGTGTGGGCTTCACACAGCACTGGAGAATGCAAGAGGGTTGTGGGGATGGAAGCAGTACCTCAGTGCTGGGTGGCTCCAGAGCAAGGTATCTGTATTTTGATGATGAACCATGCCTCAGTTGGTGGTGAATGATTGATCCATGTTCCCAAGGGAGATGCTTATGGTTTCTGTTTGCATTTTATACTTCTTTTAATCATGCTTTGTTTTGTTTTGTGTTCTTTTTTTTGTCGTCTTTCTTTAATTGCAGCAGCTGTTGCCGGGTAAAAAGTTTTGGGAATCTGATGATTCCAGCAAAGATGGACCAAAAGGGATATTTCTGGGAGATCAGTGGAGAGACAGTGCTTGGGGAGCATCAGGTAGCTCCATTATTTACTTGATTTAGGTGGGGTTTAATACACAGATGTGCAGCTCAGCTTTCAAAGACATCTGCTTTATGTCCTAGAAACCCCCACGTTGTTTTGTGGTTAAAACATATCCATAGGCATTAAAGGATTGTTTAATGTATGTGCACCCTGTTACCTGCTCCAAAACTTCAGAGCTGGGGTACCAGTAGGATGATGTTTGAAAGGACAAACCAAAACTGATTGTTTTTTCATTGTACTAATACAAGTGTTTTACTAAAACTAAACCCTACAACGTGGTTTTAACTGCAACCTTTACTTAGGGACTTAAGTCTCTGAAATGCTCTGATTTTAGACTCTAAATGTAGTTATCACTTGTAGGTTTTCAGGTTCTAGTAGTTAAAAAATGAACAGCCATCCTGCTTTGTTGAATGGCCATCATCAGAGTCAAAACACTGGCACAGTTCAGACCCTAGAGAGTAATTATTTGATGACTTGCCTCCTGTGAATAGTTGGATCTACTTATAAGAATTATCCATGTTTTTGTTCCAGATCACTCTGTTTCCCAACCAATTATGGTGCAGAGAAGACCTGGTCAGGGGTTTCATGTGAATAGTGAAGTCAACTCAGTGCTTTCACCACGGTCAGAGAGTGGAGGACTTGGAGTTAGCATGGTGGAGTATGTGTTGAGCTCATCTCCTGGAGATTCCTGCCTAAGGAAAGGAGGATTTGTAAGTGTGCCTGATTCTGACATCTGAGTTCCTGTTATGTTCCTTTCTCCTTTCTTTGGTTGGTTGTTAATCCATCCCTAAAGGCAGATGTTCCTTCTTTCTTTAATTTGCTCTTAATTTAGCTCCCTCTCTTAAAACAGGCAGGTTTTACCCATTGCTTTTGACTCAGGATGCAGGGTGGGAGTGGGTGTGAGGTATGTGAAGGTTCCTAATGTTCCCTGGTTCTTTGAATCAGCCCACCAGCAGTGACCCCCCCCCCCACCTTGAGCTCATGGTGGGAGGAATGTGCACATCTACCTGTGGTTCTGGATGAACGTGTGGCTGCTTTGTGGCTGGGGAAGAACAAAAAGCTCCATGTGATGATGCTAGAAACATAACATAGCTACAAAAGCCACTCCAGGTGGGAATGCTTTCAAGGGTATATCATTTCCCATGGAGAAGTGGTGGTAGGCACTGTGCTTCGTGGGGTGAGGAAGGGAGGCACAATCAGGCCTCATCCCTGTGGTGGGGAAATAGGGGCTGCATCTCCACCTCCTCGGCCACTGCTCGACCAGGAGTTGTCACAAAGCACAAAAGCAGAGTAGATTTGTCACTGTTCCTCTGCTCATCTCTTCTGGGAGCTGATTTGTGTTTCCTTCCTCCATCCTCTTTATCTTGTCCCTCATTACTAGACACCTGGTAACCTGGTTGAACCCCAGGCCTAAGAGAGATGGGGTTTGAGAAATGGACAAGCAGTGGAAGGAGCCAATTTATCATCAGAATTGGGGCTTAGAGAGGTGGCTGCTCCACAGCAATGCTGGTTCTGCAACCAGGGGTCTCCCCAGGGAATATCCCATCGTGAGGGGGAGAACTGGGCTCCACATCTGTAGTGACAATTGGTGTTGCTGAGTCTGCCCTTAAACAAGCATGAGTTGATTTTCTTTAAGAAGCATCATCAGAAGATAATAACTTTTAAAACAATCCTTTTTCTCCTAAATATTGAAGGAAAAAATACCCCCCTCCAATTTAAGAGGATGGAAAAAGGATTTAGTCAAAAGGGTTCAGCTGCCCTGTTACATACAGAGCAGTTTGCCCTTAGATGAAGGGTGTCGTGTCTGTCTGTGTGACAGCACCAGAGCCATTCTGATAAACATGTTTATATGCCCCTTGCTGGTTTTTATCATAAATTATGTTGGTTTTCCTCTCCCTTTTGTTGTTCACAACTCTGCCCCTGGCATAATCCCCCTTGGTTCTTCTCCCAAGTGAAAGAAAATACAGACATTAAGGGCAGAAGAGCTGCAGATGTAAAACCACTTATCAAATGCTCAACAGCACAGAAATCCCTTTGTTTTTCTCCTTTATTTTCCTTTCCTTTCCTCCCCCCCTCCGAATGTGCTTTAGGGTTCTATGAGCCAGTGACCAACCTAATGATTGACTTGAATGCTCTTAAATCAGCCCTACCTTGGAATTCACTGTGCAAATCAGAATGCTGAGGTGATCCCATTCTGCTCCTACACATGGGCTTCTTCAGCTAGTTACTGCAGCTTTGACACTGAGACAGTGACTTTGAGAGGCTCTAATTCCTTTTGTACCCTTTCAGTACCTGCTGTGTCATGTTTAGAAGTCCCTGGGTTAATTTGGAAGTGCCCAAGACCCATCTAGAAAGAGGATTTGTTGAAGTATTCTTTAACATTCTTTTGGGGTGGGATTTTTAGAGCCTTTAGAATCAGACTCTGACTTGCTAAATGGAAGAAACTAAATAAAACCTGGAAGAGTGAGAACCAGTTCCCTTCTTCCTTCCATTATGTTGGACTGTTTTGCCTTTTTTCTATTTTTATGTGTAGGAACTACTGTTTGCAAGTGACTTATTGGATTGTGACACGTTTCTTTGACTTGCTACAAGCTCAGAATGAAAGTAGAATTGATGGGAAAACGAAACTTATTAAAATACTGTCTCTTTTACCCAGGGGCCGAGGGATGCAGAGAGTGATGAGAATGACAAAGGGGATAAGAAAAATAAGGGCACATTTGATGGTGATAAATTAGGAGATCTGAAGGAGGAGGGGGATGTGATGGATAAAACCAATGGTTTGCCTGTGCAGAATGGGATCGATGCAGATGTCAAAGACTTCAGGTACGTGCACTGTTATCAGTTGTGGTTTACCTGGCAGCTAAGCACCACGTAATCACTCACTCACTCCTCCCTGGTGGGATGGGGTGAGAATCAGAAAGGTAAAAGTGAGATAACTCCTGTGTTGGGATCAGGGCAGTAAAGCAAAAGCACACACACAAAGCAAGGAATTCCTTCACCACTGCCCATCTCAGGCAGCTGTTCAGCCATCTCCAGGACATCAGGGTTCCAGCTTTAAGGTCCCTTCCAACCCAAACCATTCCTTGATTCTGTGATTCTAACTCTGCTTCCAGCACAAATCCCAGGCACAGCCCCATAGCAGCTACTGGGAAGAAAATTAACTCTTCCTCAGCCAAACCCAGCACATACACACTTATATTCTTTGAAAGATTTTCCATGCTGTGGGTGAAGAAGCCTTTGAGTCATTGACACAGTGTCATAAGGATGTCCTCATGCACCCAGGGAAGCACTGGGAAGGTAGGGATAACATCTGTGAGCTCTAGTTCTGTCTGTTGTGATCTTGTTTTAGTTTCACACCTTTCCTTTATTACTGTATGTGAGATTCCTATGGAAATACCAGCTGAAGAGGTTGACTATGCTTATATATTAGTTATAGCTGGGGTTATGGCTTTTCCCTTGTGGCTCTCAAGGGCTTAAAGCCTTCTGAAATGGTGGCTCTTGCTGTAATCAATGCATTTGTATTTCTTGCTCACTTACCCACTCACTCACATTGACATGTAGGAAAACTGTAAAAGCAGAACAAGTGCTGGGAGGTGCAACCTGCTGGTCCCTACCTTGGGATGAAGCAGTTCCCACCGGAGCCCAAGGCTTGTGTTAGGTCGTTTAGAGAGGTTTCAAGTGAGATACAGCACCAGAGTGTTGTGTGGTTCAGAATTCCCAAAGAGCTTTAGCAAGTCTGAAATCCTGTCTTGTCATGGCAGACTCTCAGCAGAAACTGCCTGTTACTACACTTGTACTGCAGCAGCTCTTTGAGGTGGGGGTTTTGTTTGTTTAAAGACATAAATTATTCTGTAGAACTCATTTAGGGAAACTCTTTCAGTGTCCTTTTATTTCCTCCCACCTTTATCATGCCATCTCCAGGCAGATGTGGTGAGTACTTGGGTCTTGCTGTGTGGTTAAATGGATGGATCTCTCCTTGCAGCCGCACACCCGGGAACTGCCAGAACTCTGCTAGTGAGGTCGATCTGCTGGGCCCAAACCAGAACGGATCAGAGGGCTTAGCCCAGCTGGCAAGTACTAATGGTGCCAAGCCCGTGGAGGACTTCTCCAATATCGAATCCCAGAGTGTCCCCCTGGATCCCATGGAGCACGTTGGCATGGAGCCTCTTCAGTTTGATTATTCGGGCACTCAGGTTCCTGTGGACTCGGCCGCAGCCACCGTGGGGCTCTTTGACTACAATTCCCAACAGCAGGTAACGTGTTGGCCATCGGTCCAATCCTGCTGCAGTCCTCAGGAGAGTCAGGGAATCATGGAATGGGTTGGGTTGGGAGGGACCTTAAAGATCATGTAGTTCCAACCCCCCTGCCATGGGTAGGGACACCTTCCATCATCAGGGGTCAGCACCAACTCAGGCTCTTCTCTTGGGGAGAGGGATGGAGGAAGATTTGGGATGGCTTCGTTGTCTCTGGGCTATCTGTAGAGTTTGGCCTGTGTCCTCTTAGGGAGCACAACGCAGGAGATCTCAGCATGGCCACTGAGCAGCAGTCTTCAGGACCCATAGGAACCAGCAGTTACCAACAGTGCTTTTCTGTGTGTTAATTATCTTTACCTCGAGTAAGTTTGTGCTGGAGAAGAGCTTTAAATGAGTAAAAACTGCTAAACAAAACCCCAACCCTCCCTCGAGCCCATGAAGTGACTTAAGGGTCAGACAGCAGCTCAGGCCTGGTGTCACAGCCCTGCGGTGGGATCTCTGCAGTACCAATCCAGAGCCAACCAAGGAATAAGGGATTTAAACCTCCCTGCTTGTGCTTGAGCAGGGTTTAAAACCCAAGGCCAGAGTCCAATACTACAGAGCTTTATCTCAGCCCAGTGTGTTTGACCTTTCTCCCACACAGGCGGCTGTGGCTTCTCATCCCGGAGCAGTAACCCAAGTCCTGGCTTTACTCTTGGCTTGGCTTGAATGCTGGGCCTGGATCCAATGATCCACTGAATCCGCTCCTGTTCCTGCTAGTTTGGGCAGCAATCATCAACTTTTATTGCTTTCCTATTGTAGCTATGATATCTCTCGAAGAACAACAACCTTTGTTGCAGCTGAGGGCAAAGGGACATAACTAGTCCTGCCTTTCCTAAAATATCCAGTCTTTTTTAGCAGAACAGCCTGTTGGCATTCCTTAGTGAGGAAGGCCCATTGCCAAGGGTGTGCTAAAGGCCCGTCTCGGAGCGATCAGAGCCTTTAAAGCAATGGGAATACCTGTGTTAGGGCCTGGGGGTTGGTTTATTATCCAGCACATTTAGGAGGGGAATGGTGGACATTGTTTTAATGATTGAACTAAAGAGTTGCTGGAGAGTTCAGGAAGAAAAGCTAGTTCCAAGTTTTTGTCTCCCTTTGGTAGGGGACCTTGTGAGAATTCATATCCAACAATGAAACTTGGGTAGTTATTTCTGTGCTAGAGCTCAACGAGGGAACTGCTTTTTAAAGGACTGTTGGATATGGGAAAGGAACTGGAGGAGTAGGAAGCCTAAAACATGCATTTTGTCAGTGGATTTTAGTTCAACGAAGGCTCATTGATGAGGTCAAGTGTTTCTATTTGTTTCTTCAAGCTTTATAGAGTTGGGATTTAAAATGTGAGCGTCTTGCACATAGCTGGTGGAAATAGAAACTCTCGGAGGAAGGCTGGCCTGGGAAGTGGGCCCATGTCCGGAGGGATTGCAGGATGGACCTCTGGCACCAGCTGGCCCTAAGCAGGCCTGGTGGAGTTTGGTTCTCTTTGTATGAAGAACATGGGCAATATCCACATAGAGCTGATGTCACCTCAGTGTAATCATGGAATGTGAGAGTGGTTTGTGTTGGAAGGGACCCTAAAGCTCCTCCAGCTCCAACCCCTGCCACGGGCAGGGACACCTTCCACTAGAGCAGGTTCTCCAAGCCCCTGTGTCCAAGCTGGCCTTGAACACTGCCAGGGATGGGGCAGCCACAGCTTCTCTGGGCACCCTGTGCCAGCGCCTCAGCACCCTCCCAGGGAAGAGCTTCTGCCCAAGAGCTCATCTCAATGTCCCCTCTGGCAGGTTCAAGCCATTCCCCTTGTTCTGTCCCTCCATCCCTTGTCCAAAGCCCCTCTCCAGGTTTCCTGTAGCCCCGTTAGGCACTGGAGCTGCTCTAAGGTGTCCCTTTCAGGAGCCTTCTCCAGGCTGAGCCAGCCCAGCTCTCTCAGCCTGTCCTCCTAAGAAGTAAAAAACAACTTTCTGCTGGGTGAAGCTGAATTTCTCTCTTCTCTTTAAATGGTGAAGTTTGGTGGCAGTGGAGGCCCTGTGCTGTGGGTACAGCACCTTGCCCACGCCATCCCTGTGTCGTGCCGAGTTGCTGCCCAGGTCACGTTGACAATAAGCAGGCTGGGCTATTTCAGAACTGTGATTTTAAAGTCTCAGCCTTGTTGCAGCTACTTATACCTACAGTAACTGCTCTCAACAGGCTTTTGTAAGCGTAAGGGCCGTAGTAAAGAGAAGGCTTCACCTTTCTGCCGGATGTGACCTCTTAGTGCACATCTGTGTAACCTGGTGTATTTTGGCTCCAAGATGTGCCTATTTTCTTACTACATGACATCCAGTCTGCTGCCAGTTACAGCCTGGATGAAAGCAGTCTCTCTCTTTGGGAAGTCCAGGTTTTCTCCATGCAGGTATCAGAAGGAAACATGCCCTGAACAAAAAGATCTCCTCTGCAGAAGTGCCTTTCTCAGTCTGCTGAGAAAGGCATCACACACTTTGGAGGGATTACAAGCAAGTGCAGCTAAAAGCAATATTAAGAAGGGAAGGTCTTAACCACGTGTAATCTGATTAGAGATGTCAGATGTCCCTATTTCAGGAGAAACTGCCTTACAGAAATGTCATCTTCAAATGTTCCCATAACTATAACACAGTCTCCCGTGTCCTGGTTTCTTGGAATTCCCTGGATTAACTCCCCCCCATGCTGTAAGTGCTGCTTCATGTGTGTGCATGTGTGAGGGAGGAAAACAGCCTTGTTTTTTGCAATGTCATAGATTCACAGAATTCCAGCCTGGTTTGGGTTGAAGGAGAGGAAGGAACAGGGAGGAACATTGCTTCTGGGTAGCTCCAGAGTGGCTGTTCCACTTGTGGATCCTTTAAGGTTTGAATTAAAGCTGAGCCATCCTCTGCTGATGGATTAAATCAGAGAGTTTCCTTTGGTAGAAGGACAGCTGGGAAGGGAGTTTGTAGGAAGGACCTGGATGAATGAGGAAGAAAGAAAACCCAAACCTAAGCAAAAGTACTTGGAAGTCTGATGTAATCCTCTCCTTTTTTGTTCTTGAGAATGACTGTTCTCAGGAACATTGCCCATTGCTCCTAGAGATTGCAGGGACCTGTAGGCTGGCAAACTTGTGTATCTTTTGGATGACTTACCCAAAAACTCCCGAGATCTGGTTTCTGTCCGTGGTCAGAGAAGAATTTACATCCTTGCATGGAAGGCTGGCAGGAAAAGGAGCATTTTGGCCAGGGGTTTGTGAGCTCCTGAGGCTGGTGTCTCACCCGGTGGCTTCTTAGGTGGCTCTGGAGCCATCACAAGCGTATCATCTCCCACACCTTGCTCTGCTGGCTTCTTCATGTTCAAGGCCAGGTTGGACATAGGGGCTTGGAGCCACCTGCTCTAGTGGAAGGTGTCCCTGCCCGTGGCAGGGGTTGGAGCTGGAGGAGCTTTAAGGTCCCTTCCAACCCAAACCAGGCTGGGATTCCATGAGTCCCACCATCTGAAAGAATCCCCCAGGTTCTCTGCTGCTGTGACTGTGATTTCACTGTGCTCGGTGTTGATCAAGAGCCCTTGGTCTGCTGGTGGCAGCTGCTAGTGATCCGCAGGCTGCAGTGAGGGGTTGTGTGTTTAAATTGGGGAATAAAGGGGCTTTCAGGCAACGTGCAGAGAACAGCAGAGAAAACCCTGGCTGGGGTTTAGCTGTGCTTCAGAAATAGATTGTTTTCCAGGGGGATTATCATGGGCAATTGATTTCAAGAGTTTGGTATTTTTCAATTCCTATTGAAATGTTTCCCTTTAAAGAGGAGTGTCTGTAGTTGTGAAAATAAGTTGTGTGTAAAGGAATTGCTTTAAAAAGAAGAGTAAAGGACCGTATTTGTGCTTCTGTCCCTTCAGTTGTTCCAAAGACCGAATGCGCTTGCTGTTCAGCAGCTGACAGCAGCGCAGCAGCAGCAGTATGCCTTGGCAGCTGCCCATCAGCCTCACATAGGTAAGTCTTGCATTTAATACACCACATTTTATTAGGCTTTAATCAACAGAACGTATTGGGAAAAGACTAAGGAAAAAGGATGGGTGGTATTTGGAGGATCCTAACTATGTTTTTGCAACTGGCAATCGACACACAAGCAGAAGTGCACTGTTTGAAGACCCACTCGAAGAGTTTTGGAGGTAGCTCTTGCCTGCTTTAAAAGCTCTAAAGCATTTGTCTGGCAGGAGTGATACTTTCCTTTGTTGAGGGGGCTGCTCAGGGAGGAGAGTGCTCTGAAATACGTGCTGTGAGTAAGACATGAGTTGGGGTGAGCAGCACAGCAATGTACAACTCCCTATGCATCTGTACACACATCCTGTGGCTGAGCTGCCTGGGTCATCTTTAAGTTAAAGATGTAATTTATGCAAACACATGATTGAAACTATTAAAGGAGTATGGATTAGGAATAAAGCACATAACCCTGTAGCAGGGCTATTCCTGGATGATTAAACTATCTTAGGGTTAAATGTTTTTAGCACAATAAGCAATTTAAGTTGTTCCTCCTACCCAAAAGCCCAGTACAAATACGTTGGGACTTTCCCACTCTGCACAGTGCATTTGTGTGCTTGTTGGGGCTCAGGGGTAGACCTGAATCAAACTGATTTAGCTTTTTACCTTACTCCCCTTCACCTTCATCTCCCCCCCACGCCCCTTTCCCGCCCCCCTGGGATTTCTCTAATGATTAAACTGTTACCTTGCAGAGGAAGGTAATGCCTACATGGCAGGGATCATTCCTTGTCATGCCTGTATGGTCCTGAGCTCCTTCCCAGCTAATTAATTGAAGTACTGGGAGTGTGTAGTGGGCTTGGAACTCAAAGTAGTGTAGACTGGTTCTTGATCAGCTCACTACAGAAGATGCAGAGAAGGACCAAGCACCCAGATAGTTAGTAGCTGGTGTTAATAGTCACCTCAAGAGTAAGGGTGTCCCTGTGCCATGGTAATATCTGAGCAAATTTGGGTATTGTATATGGAGTGTTTTCATAGAATCATGGAATTACAGAATGGGTTGGAAGGGTTGTCAAAGCTCCTCCAGCTCCAACCCCTGCCACGGGCAGGGACACCTTCCACTAGAGCAGGTGGCTCCAAGCCCCTGTGTCCAAGCTGGCCTTGAACACTGCCAGGGATGGGGCAGCCATAGCTTCTCTGGGCACCCTGTGCCAGCGCCTCAGCACCCTCCCAGGGAAGAGCTTCTGCCTCAGAGCTCATCTCAGTCTCCCCTCTGGCAGGTTAAAGCCATTGCCCTTGTCCTGTCCCTCCATCCCTTGTCCAAAGCCCCTCTCCAGGTTTCCTGTAGCCCCGTTAGGCACTGGAGCTGCTCTAATGTGTCCCCTTCAGGAGCCTTCTCTTCTAGAAGCTGCCCCAGCCCAGCTGTCTCAGCCTGGCTCCAGGGCAGAGCTGCTCCACCCCTCACAGCAGCTCCATGGCCTCCTTTGGACTCACTCACATTTTACCACTTCAGCTTTCCTGAATGGACATTGCATCCTTGGAACTGGCTTTCTTTTATATAGATGATACCCTCCCTGATTGTTCTGCTCAGACTCTGGGCTTGCTCATTCCCTTCAGAAACCAACCTGTAACAAACTCTAAAACCATGGTTCTGTGCTCACCAGGCAGAGGTGTTTTGGCAGGGCTGCACTTCTAGTTAAGTTTGTTTTCACTGACAGGTATGTTTTCAGCAGGTTTAGCTCCTGCTGCCTTTGTCCCCAACCCGTACATCATCAGCGCCGCTCCGCCGGGAACCGACCCCTACGCCGCCGGACTCGCAGCCGCTGCCACGTTAGGTGAGATGCTTCCACTTGGCCATTCATTCCTGACCTTTTCTGTGCCAGAACTGCTCTGGAGCCTGTGGTTGTGAAATGAACTGTTAGTACATTGTCATTTCCATGGAGAGATAATGGTTTATCAGGGAGTTGAAATGGAATTTGTCTTGGAAACGCTGTTTTCTGTCGCTTACGTGTGGTAGTTGTTGTATAACACTTGCTGTGGGCTCTGTCTCTGCTGAGGATAAACCACCAGAGCAAAGCCAGAATGAGACACTTGCAGACATCAATGTCACTGCATGTTTGGGGTTTTTTGGTGGCTGACAGGAGTGAGAGATACCTTTGAAAATCGATGTGTTAAATGCTAGAAAGATGAGGATGTGTTTTCCTGCCAGGGAGGTTGTATCTCCTTGCTGTTTAGCTTGATTTACTGTAGTGCATTCTGCAAATGGGATCTTTCCCTTTCGCGAGAGCCTGTCAAGAATTCATGGGGTTTAGATCCTCAAGATAAAAACATCCTGTATCCACTGCAAGGCTCACACCATGAATATGCAGTTTGCCAGATGCAAGCAGCAATAGTGGCTCTTGTCTTCATGCAAGATCTTTCTCCCAAACATTCATGTATCGGTTTCCAAACTCTTTCCAACTGGCAGAGCCAAAATTGTTTTATCTTGAGGTGACAGCTCAGGAAAAGAGCTTATCAGGCAGTGTGAAGAACACACTGTACATTGAACTTATGCTGAGGATCCCATAAAGTTCTTGCCTAAGCCTTGAGGACAAAGGAAGAAGGTACTTTCAGAAGAACAGCTTTATAACCACGCTTTGCTGTCCTGGAGCCACCGGGGAGGAAACCTACACCTGAAATAAAACCTGTTGGTTCAGAGCAGAGGTGATTTTCAGCAGAGCTTGCACACTGTTGCCACGCTCCATTTACAACTCCTGTACCACTGTGGGATGGCTTGTACCAAATCAAAGCCATAAAACATTGGATATAGCTCTGCCAAAGAGCACCGGGGTTTGCTACGTGACTTTTTGGGGTGTTGAACAGCTCTTACACAACACTGCTTAGCTCTTAAGCTTTGAGCCAGCATCAGGGCAAGCTCTGAAATGGGCTTTCAGCAACTGTTACCCACTTGGATGGCTTTTTTGATGCATCATATGGATGGATGTAAAGAATGATGATTATAATTGAAAGCTGTGGGCTTTGGACTTTTTGGCTGCTGTGAGTGTTGTGTGCCGATTGCATAATAACAATGCAGGATTAACATTAGGTAACAACATGTTGTTGGCAAACAAATGACACTGTGATTAAATGGAGGAAAGCCAAGAGCTAGAGTACAAGGATATTTCTAACACTGCAGGAGCTGATAAACTATCATGTGATGATGAATGTGTGGTAGTGAATGAATGACCTGAGCTCTGGGTAGCAAATACAAGTAGGAGCTTCGGCCAGGATTTAGCAGGGGAGAGGTGCTGGAGCATGAGCAATTCCAGTCCCTGTCAGAAGAGGAGCTGTGTAAGTGATTACTATCGAAAGAGGATTCTGCTTGGCCTTTTTGCAGCAGCTCAGTGCTTCTAAAGGCAGTGCTCATTCGGAAGCAATGCTGAAGTTCAGCAGAGCAGGAGGTCAGCATCTTGATTTCATAGAAAGACACATGGAACTGCTGCCAGATTTCCAGGAAACAAGAAGCTTGTTTGCCACAGCTTGTTTTCTTCTCCTTTTTCTCAGCAGTATTGAAGCTGCAGCTGCCTGAGTATCTGGAACTAGAAAATAACACACCCTGGGATACCTAAAGCATCCCAAAACTTGGCATCAGGGTCTCTACTTGAGTAATTTTTTGACTTTATGAGTCCAGAAAGCCAAACAAAAGGATGTGTAACGCACTCCAGTGTACTTACAGTATTAAACCATGGAGAAATATGAGTTACTTCATCCATCTCACTGGGCTTTGGACCCTGACAGCTCGAAATGGCCATGTAACAAAGGTGGGGTTGATGTTTGCTTTAGGATAAACATCTTTTCTGTCTAAACTTGAGCAGCTCTGAAAGTCTTCATCTGTGATGAGTTGCAGCACTGAAGGGACAGGGGACAATTCAGATGGTTAGAGTTCTGTAAGGAGTCAGACGCCTCCCTGATGTGTATGGGAGGGTAAAATGGGGAAGACCTGGAGAGGTTTGAGGTGGAAGAAATGAGTTTAGAGTTAGTGGTAGTTTATTGCTCCACTCTTAGAGCAGAGGGGAAACTTGTGTGTGTTTTATGGCAGAGATAATTCTGCCATTAAGATTCTGCCATTACAGCAGCTTTTTCCTGAGTGTGTCAGCCCTGTGACAATGTGACAATGCTCTTTTCCTCCTGACAATAGTAGCATTTTAAAGAAGACATTTGAATGCAGAGGGAAAGGGTCCCTAGACTCAAGAAGAAATCACTTGTGAGTTTAAACCATGAGGAAGATACTGCTGCCTTCAGAAAGTGTTGTGAAATTGCCTTCTATCAGTTGAGAGAGATGTCACTCAGAGAAAAAAGAAACCTTGGCTTCTGTAAGACAAGCTGGAGATGTTGGTTCCCTCTGAGGAGGTGTGGGACAGGTAGAAAAGTGTTTCTGTGCTTTGGGGAGAAGTGGATGCTGGATTAAGCTGCACACAGGAAGACACAGTGCTCCTGGACCGAGGGGAGAGGTTGTTTGGTTGTGTCTGTGCTGTGGTTCTCAGTGTTGGGTTCTGAGGAGCTTCTTGTATTCTGTTCTGACCCATGTCCTGTGCAGAGCCAGCTCAGAGCTGGGGACCAGTATGGATGCGTGCACACACCACTGAGGGCTGGGATTCGGGGAAGCAGATCCAGCTGGCTTTTCCCCACTGCTTTGGGCACAGCATCGTGCGATGATGCCTGTGCTCTGGGTCGGCGCTGGGCACAGGGCTTGCATTGAGGCTGCACTGGAGCTGTTGGAGCGGGGCTGGTCCTTACTCCCATCCCTAAAAATACACCACTTCATTAGTACCCTCTGTTGCTGTACTGGTAATTCTGAAGCAGTCACAAGTCACTAATAGTAGATGCAGTTTGAAGCTGTGTGTTTTCAGACACGAGGTTCTCAAGGCTTTTTGACCTGGTGGTCTCCAAGCCCTCATCCTTGGCTGGAGGGGCAGCTGAAGCCATCTTCAGCTTAAAGAGACTGGAGTGCCAAGGCTGAGATGAAAAGCAGAGGATTTGTTACAAACACACTTACCCCTGGATTTGCTAATGTTTCTTACAAGGAATATTTGTGGGTGTCTGTGGCTGATGCGTGAGACGTAGTAGTGGGAATATTTGATTTCAAAGGTACCAAAAAGGCTTTTATTTTCTCATGTGTGCCTGTCTTTATTAAGTGTAAAAGCAGGTGCAAGATCTCCTGAAGTCAAGCAACACTCTGGGTGTTTTGGGAAGTCTGGCAATGATGACACACTTGCCCTCACTGAGAACACTGTTCAATAATGAGCCTCTCCATGTGCGCAAATGAGCTGAGCCAGACTTGCAGCTCTTTTAAGCCCAGCTGCCTGCAGACTTCAAAGCCTCTGTGTCTTCTTTCAAACACCTAAGGTTTTGCAGATCTGATCAGCAACCTCTAACTAGGGGGGGGGGGAAAAGAACCCCATCTAGACTGTGCTTGTTTGATAATTCTAACTGAGATTAAAATAAGTCAGAGAGATGCCCGAATTTTGCCCAGATAAAGGGTGTTGCAGCAACATCCTGGTAACCTGAGGGCAAACACAGGGTAATTACTTGCATAAAATGGAGCAGTTGCAACTGTTTTCCTGTTGAGTGCAGAAGCACCCGAGCAGTTGGTGTCTGATCTGCATAGACTGACTATAAACAGGTTGTACTCCACCCATGAGCCATGTGTCTGTAGGTGCTCAGGTCAGAATAGGTGCTGCCATGGTGAGACTGGTTCATTTCCTGCAGCTTTTATCCATTTTAGCTACTGCTGCTCATGAATTCCCAGGTTGGAAGGTAAGAAACAAGTGGCTGCTGCTGCAAGACAAATCTGGGACAGGCAAGTTGCTGTCTCTGCCTGATGGTGCCCAGTAAATCCAGCCAGGGTGGATGTTGTGGCAGAGCTTTAGTGTGAGATGCAAATCCAGCTGCTCAGAAGGTATTGCTGAAGTGCCTGGACTTAGGCAAGGGGCTACTTGTGACATCTCCCACATCACTGTGTGTACACAGAGCTGGACATGGGCAGCAGTGATGCTACAAAATCCTAAATATGAGGGAAGTACAGTGGATAAAAACAAAATAATAAAAGGAGAGTAATTCTTACACTTCTGAAATAGTAGTTTAACAGAATCCTGGAGTGGTTTGGGTTAAAGGGACCTTAACCCTCATCCAGCTCCAACCCCTGCCACGGGCAGGGACACCTTCCACTAGAGCAGGTTCTCAAAGCCCCTGTGTCCAACTTGGCCTTGAACACTGCCAGGGATGGGGCAGCCACAGCTTCTCTGGGCACCCTGTGCCAGCGCCTCAGCACCCTCCCAGGGAAGAGCTTCTGCCTCAGAGCTCATCTCAATCGCCCCTCTGGCAGGTTAAAGCAGCTTCTCTTATCCCTATGGGCCTTTGCAGTGTCTCTAAGACATAACCAACAGCAGTACTGAAATGGTTTGGTTAGAACTCAAATGCCAACTGCCTCTCTTAAAATAAAAGCTATTTTAACTCCATAAAAGAACAAGTGTGTGGTTTGAATTCACTGAAGCCCTGTTTATTCTTCAGTGTGAAATATGACTGTGGCACTCTGCCTTAAAAACAGTGTGGTGTAAGTTACTGCTGCTGTGGGGAAGGAGCCCATGGGCTGCGTGATGTGTTTTGAAAAGCAAAGGAAATACTTGTCCATTTCTGCTGCCCATTCCCAGTGATGCAGAACAGACATCTTAAAGAATGTTGTTGGATTCACATACGTGTTACCTGGGGGAGGGACTCCACCACTGAGCACAGAGTGCTCACTGCTTCCTCCCCCAGTGAGTGTATCCAGAACTACTGCAGGATACAGGCTGCCATTAGGGTGTGTGCTGTGCTGGGACGTGAGGAAACACACTGAATCTTAGGCTTTTTCTGGTGCTCTCTAAGATGATTTTCTTTTCTTCTAAGCCTCTGAAGTTTGAGGAGGGATGTGAAAAGGTACAGGATCATACAGCCTCCTTGGTGGTGTTTGCAGATGCAAAGTAGGACTGAGTGGTTGGAGAAACACTGTTTTAAACACTTGGAACTGATGCTATCCAGCTGCCAAGGGGGGTTCTTAATTTACTGGGGAATTAAATGATGGATGTTATTGAGCTGTGAATGGCAGCTGAGATTAGAAGAGACTTGTCTCTCTCTGTGCTTTCCTTCTCCTTTGGGTTAGAGATAAAGGTTTGTTCCTCCACTATAAAAGTAGGGCACAGCAACAAACCCAGGGTTCTACAAGATCACTAGTAGCAGTATCTGACCTCATCCAAAAAGGTTTGAGCAAGTAAAGCTGAAATTTCAGGTCTGACTTCTAAGCTCTTCCAAAATGAATAACCCAATTGCCAGAATCCCTCTGTATTTGCAAAGGGTTTAAGGCAGATCACCTGGAAATGGGATTTGTTAAATCAAACATGAGAGGAGCAGGTATCTTGGTGACTGTTTGCTGTGTAACTCCTGTCCCGCTGCAGAAGCTCACCGTGTCCTTGGTGTTTCAGGCCCAGCAGTTGTTCCTCACCAGTACTATGGAGTTACTCCCTGGGGAGTGTATCCTGCCAGCCTCTTCCAGCAGCAAGCGGCCGCCGCTGCCGCCGCCACCAACTCGGCCAGTCAGCAGACAACCCAGCAAACCCAGCAGGGCCAGCAGCAGGTAAGGGCCAGGGTGCTTGGAACATCACATCATGAACACAGCAGCTGTGAAGAACCCTGATCTTTCAGTGACAGCTCCTGACCCTCAGTTCAGAGAGTCACAGAGTGATTGGGGTTGAAGGGACCTTAAAGCTCATCCAGTTCCAATCCCTGCCATGGGCAGGGACACCTTCCACTAGAGCAGGTTGCTCCAAGCCCCTGTGTCCAAGCTGGCCTTGAACACTGCCAGGGATGGGACAGCCACAGCTTCTCTGGGCACCCTGTGCCAGCGCCTCAGCACCCTCCCAGGGAAGAGCTTCTGCCTCAGAGCTCATCTCAGTCTCCCCTCTGGCAGGTTAAAGCCATTGCCCTTGTCCTGTCCCTCCATCCCTTGTCCAAAGCCCCTCTCCAGCTTTCCAGATTTAAAGAAAACATATCCAAGCTTTCAGACTAAACTGATGGTTGCTAAACCAACTGGTTAAGTGAAGTGCTAGAAGGATGAGAGGTGTCTCACCACCCTTGCTTTGGTTCTCGTCCCCTTGGACACGTGATGGGATATGCTCTGCTTTCCTCCTTTCAGAGAAAGCTGCGCCCATAGGATGGGTGTCAGGAACCAGACTCAGCCTCTCTTTTCCAGCCAGCTCTGGCATGGTCCCAGCTTGTCTGCCTGGTATTTTTAAGCTCTGGTCCTTGCTTGACATTGGTTTTCTCCAGTTTTGTTGGCCTCTGTCCCACTGTACTTCCTGCTTGGAAACCAAATGGATTCGTTACCCTGCCGAAGAACGAGGCAGCTCCTTTCCCATAAGTAACACAGACCTTCCCCTTGTGCTACAATTGTAGAAGAGAGCACTTGGCAGCTGAATTTATTAGCTTCTGCTTCGAAAACTAAAGCCAGACCCAGGGTTGGGTTGTATTATGAGGCCTTTTTGGTTAGTACAAGCAGCGATGGTTCACACCAACAATCGTGGACCACGGATCAGGAGGAGAACACTTTGCTTGTGACAAGTCAATCATCCAGTTTCCCTGTGTGGCAGGTCACAGGTAGGAGCGCATGGCACAGAGCTCCTGCACACATGTGAACCAGCACTCAGAGTGTGTGATGGGCACTTAGGTGTTGGCATTCAGCTAGAAACCTCTCCCCATGAGGAGGGTGTGTGCTAAGAGTGGTTCTGCAGAGCTTGGGCTGTTCAAATCAAACAGATCAGTTGTCAGTAGCCCTTAGAGTAGTTTTCATTACTTCTAAAGCCATGAAGCAGATGTTAGGGGGCATCATGGCTATTGGGTTTGGTGCAGACCTTCCATCTGTAAGAGGATGCAGCCTCTGTTTTGGATGGAATTCCTCTAAAGTGCTGACACAAATGGTTTGGAAGCCTGGGATGATGATCATGGACGGTTGGTTTATGATCATACGCCCTTTTCAAACCTTTGTGGGTGACACAGGTGACGTTGCTCCTTGCAGCAAGGCATGCTGAGTACCAAGGGATGGCTCTTCTAACCAGCTGGTGCATCACCACTTTGAGTAAAAGGCTTTTGCAAACCCAGCCTGTCACAGGTAATTACAGGAAAGGTCACTTTGCCATCTTCCCCTCAAAGCAGCATGTGCTTAAAACCACAAGAGCTGCATATAAAAAGCTGTGTGTGATCTTTGGTCATTATTTCCAGTGATGAGCAAGTGTCATGTCATTGTTTTCTCTGGGGACTGGCAGCTTGGAACAACCTGTGTCACCTCCTGTCACCAGCCCCAGCTCCCACACTGGGCTTCTTGAGGGTTCTGCTCAAGTGGGGGCTTTAGACCAAGAATTACTAGGGATGGGGTTGATGGCTTCATTTCTAACAGCGATGAGTACTGAAGGTGGATCAAGAAATGATGCAGCAGATGATGAAGTGCTTCCAGATTCCACTCAGTAAGCCTGAGGGGGGTGTATTATTTCATCTGGGTCTTTTGCCCTTGCTATGGTGGTAGTGTCAAGGCTGGTGGTGGCAAAGGCAGCTCTGTCCTGTGTAAAAGGAGGGGTTGTCACCCACTCACTGTACAAGAACTTCAGCTACATCCCTGCTCACACTCCTGCAAGTCTCTGGTGGTTGCAGCTTGCTCCTGGGTCCCAAAGCAACCACACTGATGGGCTGTTCCTCTGTTTCCTGCAGGTTCTCCGTGGAGGAGCCAGTCAGCGCCCGCTGACCCCCAACCAGAACCAGCAGGGACAGCAGACTGACCCGCTGGTGGCCGCCGCAGCCGTCAACTCTGCCCTTGCCTTTGGGCAGGGGTTGGCAGCAGGGATGCCAGGTAGGGCTCTGGGGGAGCTGCGTGTCACCAGTGCCAGGGCAGGGCTGAGGAAAGCTGTGTCTGTGTCACTGGGGGTGTCATGTTCACCTGGCATTCAGCAGCATCCTGGGTTTATTGGGGTTTGGGATTAATCTCTGGCTTTACAAAGGATTTTCCAGAGGCTGTTACATGTGAACCCCACAACCTGGCAGCAGTTAAGGTACAGGATTTAGGTGTCTGGGTCACAGATGTTAGCAACTGCACTGCTGTAGGTGCATTAGTGGTTTGTGTACTCAGTTGCCTATAGAAAGCTGCCTTCAGATTTTCCTGTGGATCATATTAGCTTATGGGATCTTTAGTTTAAAACCTCAGAGGTATCTTAGTCCTGTTCATTAGCCCCCTCTCTCCATCCCTGCTAAGCATGATAGGGCCTTCCTCTGCCTGATTTCTTCCAGGCAAAAGCTAGTGGCTTGAAAACAAGGAAAAGGAAGGAGGGTTTATTCTGATGTGTAGTTCTGCAAGAGAGGAGCTACTGTGTGACATTTTGACATTCCATTATATGGAATATTATTGTAATGGCAAAGGGCAAACATAAGTATTTTTTGGAGTCGTGTGCAAGTGTGTCCTGCTGGTCAGACAGGACAGAACAGGATTATATTGACCTCAGGTCTCATCGCTGGAATGGGTCACAAGGTTGTTAAATGGGTTTTTTTTCATGGTTTAAGAAGGATGTTGCTGTATTAAGTTATGAAGTGAAATGTCAGACTATGGACATGTTTCCAAGCAATCTTCAGATCTCCTTAAAGCTTCGTTATTGAGGCTTCTGGGGTTTATTTGCAAAGCAGATATTCACAGAGGGCATTCTCTTTGTGGCCTCACCTTGGAGAAACACTTCACTTCCTCCTGAAAGATGTATTTAACTGTAGAATTATCTTAGAATCCCAGTCTGGTTTGGGTTGGAAGGGACCTTACAGGTCATTCCAGTTCCAACCCCCTGCCATGGGCGGGGAGAATTAGATGGCAAGGTCCCTAAATGCCTGTATGCTGCTGAAAGTTTGTTGCTTTGTGTACAACCAGCATATTTGATTTAGGAGGTTATATTTATCTATATTAATACAATACATACCTCCAGGAATCCCTAACTTGTGTGAACACTGAACAACTTCAGTGGGAGAGTTGGAAGTGCAGCATGTTCATCTGTATGAAATGTTCCAGCACACGTTGTACTTGCAATGGAAAAGAGTGCTTTGGTATTTTAAGACCTTATTTTATGTGTATAACTGTGAATTTACACTGAGGGTAGTGCTAAAGTAAGTTTAGGGGAAAAAAACCCCTCTTTTCTACCTGAAAATCCTACTAGTGTAAAGTTGTAGGCTGTGAATACAGTTTATTCTTCTTCAGGTGAAGCGGAGCTGCCTTTTTCCAGTCAGATTTTCCTTTCACAGTCCTACTGCACCATTCTCATCTGAAGGTGATGAATCTGCCTTGTGTTGTGTTGCTTGTCACCTTACCTCTCCCCCTGTTACTTGCTTCTTCAGGTTACCCAGTGCTGGCTCCTGCTGCTTACTATGACCAAACGGGTGCTCTGGTGGTGAATGCAGGGGCCAGGAACGGTCTGGGGGCCCCTGTCCGCCTGGTGGCCCCTGCTCCTGTCATCATCAGCTCCTCTGCAGCTCAAGCAGGTGAGTCCCCGTCCCAGGAGGGGGAATTCTGCTCCATCCCTAGTGGAGGGCTCTGCTGGCCATGATGACACACTTGCCCTCACTGAGATCCCTTGTGGGGATTGTTGGTGAGAACATCTCTGTGCTCACTGTGGGCTGAGCCTCCAGAGCAGCCTCACACGGGCAGCACCACGTAAACTGTTGTTTTGCAGTTTCATGACAGTTCTTTAAATTTCACAGAACCCCAGCCTGGTTTGGGTTGGAAGGGACCTTAAAGCTCCTCCAGCTCCAACCCCTGCCATGGGCAGGGACACCTTCCACTAGAGCAGGTTGCTCCAAGCCCCTGTGTCCACGCTGGCCTGGAACACTGCCAGGGATGGGGCAGCCATAGCTTCTCTGGGCACCCTGTGCCAGCACCTCAGCACCCTCCCAGGGAAGAGCTTCTGCCTCAGAGCTCATCTCAATGTCCCCTCTGGCAGGTTAAAGCCATTGCCCTTGTCCTGTCCCTCCATCCCTTGTCCAAAGCCTCTCTCCAGGTTTCCTGGAGCTCCTTTAGGCACTGGAGCTGCTCTAAGGTCTCCCCTTAAGGAGCCGACCCAGCCCAGCTCTCTCAGCCTGGCTCCGTAGGACTTTGTCTGCTGGCATCTAGTTTCCCACGTAATAAAAGCTTTCAGCCCGTGTAGAGCTCCAAAATGATCACCTTGTGTAAGATGTTACATGCCTGGCCTTTGCCAGGAGTTGGGTCGGGTTTTATTAGGGTTCTTTGGGAGTTCAAGGCTTTAAAAGGCTTTTTTCAGGCAGAATCTGTACGTGTAAGCAGTCTGCCAGGGTTAGTAACAGATTATGAAATGGGCCTTTTAATTGTTTCCTTGTAGCTCTTGTTTATTTTGCTTTTTCTTTTACTTTAGAACTGGCTGAAACCCAAAAGTCCTTGAATTTGATGTTCCTGGCCCTGCAGGGTTGTATTTCAGGCACTAAAGGACAATTTTGCTTATTACAAAACTTGTGTTTCTTAACTGGATATTGCCAAGTGGGTGCCTGTATTGATTAGAACCTTAGATCTTGGGAGAGAGGGAATGGGTTTGTGTGTTTCAGCCATGCAGCTCTAATAATTCAGGCAGTCATAATAAGGAGGCACTATTGGTATTCAGGAGCTCTGTGCAAGCCTTGTGGAGCTCGGGTATGAAGGAAAGACATTTGGTGCAGAGTTTGATGTGAAAGGGACGTTTTCATCCTGAAAGGAAAAGATTTCTAGTAAATACAAGGAAACTGCTATGTTTTTACTGCTAAAACTGGTGTGGAAATGGGCTTTTTCAGTCCTTTTTCAGCACTTTTTCAAGCTGTACTTCTTGCTTTGCAGCGGTTGCAGCGGCTGCAGCTTCAGCCAACGGGGCAGCGGGTGGCCTGGCAGGAACCACAAATGGACCATTCCGCCCTCTGGGAACTCAGCAGCCCCAACCCCAGCCCCAGCAGCAGCCCACCAACAACCTGGCATCCAGCTCCTTCTATGGCAACAACTCTCTGAGCAGCAATTCCCAGAGCAGCTCGCTCTTTTCTCAGGGCTCTGCCCAACCTGCCAACACTTCCCTGGGCTTCGGGAGCAGCAGCTCTCTCGGTGCCACGCTGGGGTCTGCGCTGGGAGGATTTGGGACAGCAGGTAAGAGCAGAGGGGTCTTCCTGGGGAAGAAAGAGGAGCACATGGCTCCAAATGCAGTGAGGGACTGTGCAAGCTGCTGTGCCCTTTGTAGAAACCCAGCCTGGTTTGGGTTGGAAGAGACCTTAAGGCTCATCCAGTCCCAACCCCTACCACAGGCAGGGTTGCTCCAAGCCCCTGTGTCCAACCTGGCCTTGAACACTGCCAGGGATGGGGCAGCCACAGCTTCTCTGGGCACCCTGTGTCAGCACCTCAGCACCCTCCCAGGGAAGAGCTTCTGCCTCAGAGCTCATCTCAGTCTCCCCTCTGGCAGGTTAAAGCCATTGCCCTTGTCCTGTCCCTACATCCCTTGTCCAAAGCCCTTTTCCAGCTTTTTTGTAGCCCCTTTAGGCACTGGAGCTGCTCTGAGGTGTCCCCTTCAGGAACCTTCTCTTCTCCAGACTGACCCAGCCCAGCTCTCTCAGCCTGGAGATTGAATGGAAATGGAGGTTAAATCCATCTGAGGTTAAATGGTGATTTTCCTTTGGGAATACTTTGGCTTTCAAAATCTGCAGTGCTGGCTGGTGAAACTTCTTTTAGTAGATGTTGTATTAAAGTAGTGAACGTAGTGCCAGAGTAATGAACTTGTTTTGTTACACATGTGATCAGTCATCCCCTTGTTGCTACAGATTACGTTTTAAACCAGCTTTGAATGTCCTTGCCTTTACCTGCTGTGCTTGGTGGAGGCACTGGGCTAACAGGGATTGGCTCTGGAGCAGTATCCACCCATGTGCAAGCTCTTCTTACCTCGGGATAATGGCTGAGTAACTCCTCATGACTTCAGAAAAGCTGACCTGAGGTGCTTTCTATGCTTTATTCTGGGAATTTTCTATCATACACCAAGGAAAGGTCATTTATTGTGGTTGCAAGAAATGTTCCACACACGGTTTCTTTTGATTCCTTTGTTAGGCAGTTGGAGACAAAGATTTTTCTCAGAGTAAAGCCAAAGCAGAACGATGTCTGTGGGTTGGCTGTTTTTTATTCCTTAGGTTTGTGTTTTCTGAAGTAGAACAATGATTTTAATTACTGCTTAGGCTCAGAGGTAGTAATTATGTCCTGAACTTTCCTGCTTTCATCAGTGTAAGGGCAAGTTAAAACATGCCTTTTGAGCCTGCTCCATCCGAAAAGGCTGAGGGACATCCTGTCACTGCATCAAATCCCAGTGTTAAGTAAAAGTTACTCTAGATATTTGTGTTAAACCCGAGATTTGGAGCCAGCTTGGCTTCAGGGAAACACAGGATTCACCTTTTCTGCTTCAGTTTAACTCATTGAATTCAGTTACAAGTTTGCTTAATGCCAAGATGCACAAACTCGGTTTTCCCTCAATCACTGTTGCTTCTAGAGCTTGTGTGCAGCCATGAAAGATGCTTAATTCATTACAGGTAACAATTTCACTATTTATTAAACAAGACTTCAATGAAAATTGATGTTTTTCTCCTCAACTTGACAGCACATTTAAAGAGATTGTATTTGAGTACTGAGACAACTCTTCAAAAACCATTGGGTTTGTGTGTTCAATCTGACTTCCCTCTCACTAAAGCTGGTGCAAGCAGGAGCTGGTCTCTGCTGTGGTGAAAAGTGAGCACGAAGATTCCAAGCAAACATACGTGAAGCTGTACATGCTCTCGAGTAAATAGGAATAGATGAGAGTGAAGTGTTTGTCCAAAAGCCAGTGTGTTGCTGTCCTTTCATTCTCTCACTTCCTTTAGGTAGAGTTTAATCATGATCTTTCTGCTTGTAGGTTTTCGGAGGTGTGTTTCTCCATGTGTTCTGTTTGGTATGAAACCTCCAGAACTAGAAATGCAAAGCCAGGATTCAAACTCATTTTTAACTCAGGGATTTCTGCTTGATCATCAACTGTGGATTTAATGAATGCATTTCACTGGGGCACGTGCAACACCCGCAGCAAGCCAGCAGCCTGGTGCAATGTGGCTGCTGAGAGGTGCCCTTGTTGGGGCTCTCTGGCTGCCTCAGCAGCTTGTTGACATCACCCAACTTGAGTCTCTTGTTCTTTCCAGTTGCTAACTCCAACACGGGCAGTGGCTCCCGCCGAGACTCCCTTACAGGGAGCAGCGACCTGTACAAGAGGACATCCAGCAGTTTGACACCTATAGGACACAGTTTTTATAATGGCCTTGGGTTTTCCTCCTCTCCTGGACCTGTGGGAATGCCTCTGCCCAGCCAAGGACCTGGCCACTCGCAGACTCCACCACCTTCCTTATCCTCACATGGATCATCTTCAAGTTTAAACCTGGGTAAGAGCCACAGTGCAGCACTGCAGGTTTACTGCTGTGCTCTAGATGTGACCACACCACTGCTGGGTAGGTGACAGACCTGCAGCAGGGTCTTTGCTTGTGTAGGAGGAGGTGAAACACTGAAGCAGGAGCTTGTAGCACCCATGGTGTAGAAACATAAATCATTTAGGCTGGGAAAGACACTTAATATCATCAAGTTATGTGTTTGTTTCTTGCAGCAGTTCACCTGTAGGTAGGAAGGCTTCACAGAATCATAGAATCACAGAGTGGTTTGGGTTGGAAGGGACCTTGAAGCTCATCCGGTTCCAACCCTCTTGTCCTGTCCCTCCAGGCCCTTGTCCAAAGCCCCTCTCCAGGTTTCCTGGAGCCCCTTTAGGCACTGGAGCTGCTCTAAGGTGTCCCCTTCAGGAGCCTTCTCTTCTCCAGCTGCCCCAGCCCAGCTCTCTCAGCCTGGCTCCAGAGCAGAGCTGCTCCAGCCCTCGCAGCAGCTCCAGGGCCTCCTCTGGCCTCGCTCCAGCAGCTCCACATCCCTCTTGTGCTGTTGCCCCAGAGCTGGATCAGGGCTGCAGGAGGGGTTCTCACCAGAGCACAGCAGAGGGGCAGGATCCCCTCCCTGAGCTGCTGCTCACGCTCTGGGGGTGCACCCAGCACATGGGGGGGTTCTGGGCTCAAGCACACACTGAAGCTGGGTCATGGGGATCTTCTTATCAACCTGCACCCCCAAGTCCTTCTCCTCAGGCTGCTCCATCCAGTTTCTCCCAACCTTGGTGCTAGGGATTGCCCCAACCCATGTGCAGGACGTTGCACTTGGCCTGGTTGAACTTCATGAGGTTTGCATGGTCCCATCTCTCTTTTAGATCCTTGTTCCCTCATCCCTAAGTTACACATGACATTTCCAAGTGTTTGAATAACAAACTTTTTCTTGCGCAGCTCTTGGTAACGGCACTTATTGTGTGTTGCTCTGGACTGAAATAGATATAGAATAGGTACAGAATAAAATAAGGCTGATCCTTAAACTTGTCAGATGGTTTAAAATACCCATTAAGTTTTGAATAACAAATGAATGAGCTTAGAAGACAGTTTCTCTCAACCACAAGATGCAATAGTATTTGGAGCAGTACAGAGCTCTTGGCAGAGGATTTTGTGAGGTTGCTGTTGAAAATCTCCCATCAAAGTGGCCTTAACAAAAAGCACATTAGTGCATGGGGGAGACTTCCTTAATTCTGGTCAGACACATTACTTTATGCCATCTACATCTTCTGGAAGAGCTTCTAGTTGACTCAGAGCTCTTACCTGTAATAAAATAGATAAAGCAAATGTTAAATAATAAAGCAGCGCTCACCTGAGCTTCCTCAAGTGTTCATTTTTCCAGGCATTGTAAGCAAATAAGGTTGGTTATTCCTTCATTTGCATCAGTACTTGCTCAAAAATCACTTTGGATTTAACAAAACTTGGTTATCAGAACAGTTTTCTGTGCATAAACACACACATAAACTGCTGTTTATCATGTTTATTACATGCCTGTGTGATAAATTTGATGCTGGCTAAAGGTTAGCGTGGAGCAGTAATAAAGAGGATTTTTTGAGATCATGTTTAGATTTACCATCTTCCCTTGTTCAGAGCTTTAATGGAATTGGAAGGGTTTTAGTTTTATTTATGCAGCTGTACAGGCCTGAAGCTGACAGTTAAATAGCTCCAATAAATTAATGCTGAAGACTAACCAGATTCCAAATCAGGCACTGGAAAAAGGCTGTTGCCCCTGCAGGCAAATGAAAGAATGAGTCTCAAAAAGTGCCTCAACAGTTGATCTGTTTGAGAACAAACTGGAAGGAGAGTGGAGTTACCATTGACATGGATGGGTTGTGTCCCAGAGCAGTCACTGTTGGCCTTCCCATCATGACAGAGGATTCCTCTCCTTGTAGCCAGGCTCCTGACTTCGTGCTTGGTAATGCTGCAGGAACACTCATGTAGAATAGCTCTGCATCTGTGTGGTTGTCACCTTGAAAGCCAGAAAAGGTCATTTTTTCCCTGTAATGAAGACAATGTTCAATGAAGTTGTAGTTTTCTATGAACTTCTAAGGCTATAAAACCAGCACAGGCATTGCTTTTCCTTACAAGAAGCTTGAGGCTGACTCCTTTTCTGTTTGGGAGTGGTAACAGAAGTGGTTTGTGATAAAGAGGGTGAGGAGGACTTCTAAATACCCATCTGTCCTTTCATTTTTCACCCAGCAGGATTGGGGGTTACCAGTGGGTGCAGCCAATGTTGTTGCTTGCAAAGAGGGCAATTGTAGCAGTTAGGTTTGGATTCACATCCTTCTACTGTGTTACAGGGGGGGAACAACCAGGGAGAGTCACTTCAAGTCACTTTTCATTTCAGGGTTACACAATGCCATCAGAAGCTGGCATTAAATGTGACTTGCATCAGCAAATCCATGGTTAAATGCAGTGTAAGTGGTGGGTTTGCCTTGGTCATGTCTCATGGGTGCATAAGTCAGTCACTTGTTGGGCTGGTGTCGTGGGTGAAGATTCAGCTCTGGCTCTCTGAGAGCCGGTGGCCAGCAGGATTGGCAGTGAATAGGTCATTACTTTAATGATGTGTTCTTCTTGCAGGAGAGAGCTGCCCCGTGCTGCAGCCAGTGTGTCATTTCAAAGGCAGGAACAGTGTCAGGAAGCTGATACACACATGTGGGCGTTTAATTTATTAGGGATTTTGGGGGAAAACTGGCTGGGGAGTTGATACCCAGTGAGCTGTGACCAACTGGGCTGTGGGGCTCCTCTCCCTGCATGACCAGTGACCATCCAAGGAGGGACAGGTTGGGCAGTAACACAGGGGTGTCTCATGGGTGCTGGTTCCTGCCCTTCCCCAGGGATGTCTTCACTGCCTCTGCTTCCTCCCAGAGCCATCCTTTTGTCTTCCCCTTCTTCCCATTGTTCTGGCTTTTCTCATACTGGGACTCCTGCGTGGCCAAGGGATGTGAGGCCCTTCCACATGTCCCCTGGTATCTTGCTTGACAAATGCTTTGTTTTTAGAGGGCAGCCTTGATGTTTCTTCCCCTGTATTTTCTTTTTGATTCATCCTTTCATTCTTACCTTCTTTTTCCCCTCTGAAATCAGTAATTCCTTCAGGTCAGTGTCTGTCTCAAGTGTCCCAGCAAGCACCCAGAAGACGACTTTACCACTTCAAAACAGGAAACACTTGGTTGTTCCAGCTGTGGTGTGACTCTGAGGGATGTGTCCACCTTGGAGCCCTCAGGACAATCTGAGCACTTTGTTCTCCCCAGGTAGATTTTTCCTGATCTATCCCAACCACTTCTAAGGGAACAGAGTCGACGTGTTCAGAGACAGAACCAACCACAGCCATCGCTTCTGTACAACCTCCCTGTACTGAGTACAGCCCTGGTTTGCTGTCACAAGGTGCTGTGCATAGGCAGCACAGTGTTGACACAATGGGATGTGTCCACACAGTTAAAGTTTGTTCTGTCTGAGGACCCAGGAGAAACCATCAGTGCCAACATCTTGCAGGGGGTTCTGTCCCTCCTCTGGGGGTTTTGCTCCTTTATTCTCCCCTTCAGGAGCTTCCAGCCTCCATGTCCTGCTCTTCAACAAGGAGCTGTTTCACTGTGGATATTGGTAAGATCCCCCCCAAAGTCTGGGATGTGACAGAGTCACTGTATTCCCAGCCACGTGCTGGCATAAAGGAGTTTGAGGTGCTCTGAGGTTTCTGGCCTTCGGTGGTTGAGTGGTGGGCTTCAGAAGAGCTTGATTTAGGAAACCTGTCCCCAGCACGGCCTCTTCACTCCCAGGGTGATGATCAGCATCTCCACTGGGAGACGTGGGAAGAAAACTGGCGTAATTTCTGGTTTATTTTGAATCTCCAAAAAGATCAGAAGGTTTTTCTTGGAAAAGCTCTGCTGGAGACGTTTTCTGTACAAACTGTGCTTTCTCTCTCAACTCAGAGATAACTCATGGCTGACAGCAGTGTGAGGGCTGAGCTCCTTCCTCTTGACAGCTCTTTGCTGGTGATCAGGAACTTGTTTTCCATTGCTGTGACTCTCACTTGCTCCAGGCTTTCAAAAAACAAGTAGTAAGTCTGAGCCCTCGGAATGCCATGGATAACATATGTACACCATTGCTTGGCTTGTCCCTGTTGGTTTTCCTTTACCTGCGCAGTGATTTACTGTTCCTTTGCATACCCTGGTGAGGAACATCACTTGGTCACTTTCTGGAGTTCTTGCTCAGTCAAGAAGTCAGGTAGATAGAGAAGATGATGGCCACACCATTGGTAAGGCAGTGTGAGAAAGAGGTGTGAACAAGGAGCTCTCAAGTCTCCCTCTCCTTGAGAAAGGGCAGGTTTGGCACCAGCTCTGGAGAAGTCAGAACATGTTTGCCCAGCTCAGAGGCAGGAGAACATAATTAGGCTGTTATCAGATACTTAATTCTCATGTAGTGTTTCCTGCACAGGAGCTTCCTCCAGGCTCTGATGGAGCTGCAGAGTGCAGCTCACTCAACTCTTCATGTACTGTTGGTTTCAGACACGGGTGTGTGTGCAGCTGCAGGAGAAGGTCTGTTCCCTTTCAGACATCCCCACCAACGTTTGCCTTGAAGGTCTCCCCTCCTTTGCCAAGGCTTTCCAGCTCTGCCCTCTCTGCTTCCATTGGCCTCTCAGCTGGCTGGTTCCCATGGGATAACAACAGTTTTCTTGGGAGGACTTGGTCCCACCCAGGAACACTCGTACTCGCTGGAGGCACCTTGTGGTCTTTGACCAGCAGAGGGATCCCGAGCCCTGCAGGAAAGGGAAGAGTCCTCCGCTATAGCTTGGAATTACGAGAGATGATACGCAAGGAAGCAGTGTTTCGGGGTTTAAGCTGGTTCCTGTCAGTGCACACAATTCAGTAGCTACGTTGTGGATCACGTCCTGTTCGCCCATCCCTGCTGCTGGGTAACGAGGTGGCTTCTTAAAGGGGGGTGAACATCTTCAGGGCAATTGTGGAATCACAGGATTTAAAAAGTATTTACTTACTGCTTTTAATTTACTGTTATTTGCCTGCATTTAATAATGATTTGGGGTTTTATTGCCTTCTTGCTGCCTTTTTTCTTACCTAATTTCATCTTAGTCCTGACTCCCACCCCCAGTGTGGTGCTTTTCATAGAATCATAGGTAGGGTTGGAAAGGACCTTAAGATAATCTAGTTCCAACCCCCTGCCATGGGGAGGGATGCCTCACTCTAGACCATGTCACCCAAGGCTCTGTCAAGCCTCACCTTGAACAATGCCAGGGATGGAGCATTTACCACTTATTTGGGTGCCTCAGCACCCTCACAGGGAAGAACTTCCTTATATCTAACCTGAACTTCCCCTGTTCCAGTTTAAACCCATTTCCCCTTGTCCTGTCACTACAGTCCCTGATGAAGAGAAATCAATCCTTCACACAGCAGCAGGGTAGGTGGGGAAAAACCTGAGGATGGAGGAAAAGGGAGCTGGAAACAGCAAGTGAGCAAAGAGCTGCCAGTGCTGGGATTGACATTTGTCTGCTTTGACACCAGAAGCTCTTCCAGTCTGTTCTTCACTGAAACCTGTAGCTGTTCCTAAGAGAACAGTGAGGAGTGGTGCTGGGCCACGTCCTCATCCAGCTGATATGGTTTCCTTTGCAGGAGGGCTCACAAATGGCAGCGGCCGCTACATC